CGGCCGCTTTCAGCGGGATGAGCGGCGCCGAGAGCTTCGGGGCGGCACGGGGGCATGACTGCGAATTCTGGATGGGCCTTCTCGCCTCCTATTATGGTACTAAGATTCCAGGCCGCGAATTTCATTGCTTCGATCCAGAGATTCCACGGGCAGCAACGCGCGCTCGCGCCGAGCGGCGCGACGCGGCGATCATTCCACGACGAGCCGAGCGACGCGACAGATGCTCTACCGGAAGTATCCCAGCGCGAGCTTACCGGTCACGAGCCGCGCGAGCGTTGCGCTCTGGCGTTCAGCTCGCGAGTTATCGATCTCAGCGACATCGGTTACCGCTCGCGATTCCAAGCTGCGCGATTGCGAATCAGCGTCCGAAGCGGCATTGAATCAAGATGAACTTTCCACCCAGCTGCGTCGTAGACTTCGCTTGCCCCCTCTGCTCCATCGCCTTTTCGGACCTCCCCCCGAGCGCGAGCGCAGTCGCGCGCGCCGCATATCGAGACCAATTCCACGACCTCAGAATGCCTGCCCTTCGCCAGAGACTTGGCGCAGGAGCCCGACCTTTCCCGGGGGCGGGCGAAGAAGGGCGCCATTCAGGGGCGAAGGAGCGCGTCAACCAGTAGATAAGCAGCATATCCCAGTTCACACCAGGAAGCTGCTGACCCTGATCGCCAAACAACTACTGAGATGCACCCAGCAGAACAGGGGCGCGAGCGCTGCGATCTTCGACGCAGACACTTTCCCAAGCGACAGCGCGATTATTGCGCGCGCCCAGGAGCAGACGTCCGCCCGCGGCGCCCAGACCAATGATAAAGGAACGCGTCGCGAGCTCACCCCCCCCTCATCTACGCGACGGGTGGGGGGCTTCTGTCGTCGGCAATCGAGCTGGCGCCGGAGCAGGCCCTGGAGGACAACGAAGGGAACGCGTTCACGGACAACGATGGCGACCCCATCGAGCCGAAGAGCGAGCTGATGCTCTCTGCAAGATCGACCACGTGCACGACATACAAAAGTGGCATGCCATCACCGCGTGGGAGCCCCAATGCCGCGCGCACTTGCACCAGGCGCTGCAGGCGACAACGGCGGAACGCAAGCGCCGTCAATCACCGGCCACCCGCGTGGAGCGCGAGCTGCAGGCGTTGGTGAAGCAGCTCCTTCATCTGTTTAAATTCCAGAGCCCGACCGCGGTGGCTCCGACTTTTGCGGCTTGAGTTTCGCCGAGCGGGGCGCATGCGTAGAGGCAGCCGGGCGGCGCGCATGGCCTGGCGGGCCTGACGGCGGGCGTGACAGCGCTCTGGCCCCCATCGGGAGCTGCGGGGAATTCGGTGTCAGCTGTAGAGAGCCAGACGGCGCGCATGGTCGGGCGGGTCTGGCGCAGCTGCCGAGACGCCGAGACGCCCGACGACCTCCCGACAGCGACCGCGCTGAGGTGCCAGACTGCAAAGACATCGGATGAGGCGCACCCAGCGCCTGCTTCGTTTTTCCCGCCTCGGCCTCTCCAGCCTCCCGTGTCTGAACTTCGACGGCGCGCCAAGTCCCAGCGAGCCGACATGTTTCCCCGGTGGGTGCCGTTGTCAAAACTTTTGTTTCGGGCGCTGGGGTCTGAGCCCCTGGCCCAGTGGCATTGGTCCCATCCGTTTCCCCACGTCGGAAGTCGCGTGTTTCAGGCTAGGGCCCCCTCGGGTCCGTCGGCTGCGAGACCACCGCATTTTGTCAGGCGCCCCTATCCAAGCAGGGACATCGCACCACGTTCAGATTTTTTGTTGGCTCCCGTGTTGGGGCACGTTCTATGCGATCAGACAAACGGACCCAATGATGCGAGTGATGCCGACATGCGTTTCACCGCGTAGCTTTTACCTGCGCAGCGCAATCCCTCACATGCTGGCGTCTGCACTGGCTAACACAAATATCCCCGTACATTCGAATACCATCAGTGCGGGTGGGAATCTGCAAATTCACAATATTGTGGATGTATGTACGTAGGTGTATGCAGAAGTGTAAATGTGTATATATATGTATATATAACTAAAAACGTGGCGCCCCACAGTTGCCGACAAGAGCGAGGGGGCGGCTGGGTCGTGGGCAGGTTCGCAGGCGCCGAAGTTTCGTCAAAGCAGTGTGGGTGAATGGCGGTTGGGTCCGTGGGTGGGTCGCGGGGTGCGTCGCGGGGTTGGTCCCAGGCGGGTCGTTGGCAAGGAAGGCGCTAGCAACAATCATCATTTCAAGAGCGTTCGTTCTTCATTGCTCGCGTGCCACTCAACCAATATCCCAAACCATCGATGCCCGCCCTCTGCGTTTTCGATGGTGCCCCTCCCCCGGCGGGAGATCTTGTTTTACGTGCCGCGTGTACTTGGCGCAGATTCTAAAACTTTGGAGGGAAGGGCGGCGGGAAGAAACAAAGCTGATGGAAAAGCACAAGATCCGAGTAAGAGTTGCAGGAGGTTTTTTAATAAAAAATGAGTCTAAGCGGCAGAACCACACGGGCGGGTCGGGCGGGCAGAACCTAACGGACAGATCGGGCGGGCGGGCTTGGACGGCCAGGCTGAGCTGGCGGGTCGGTGACAAAGGTCAGGGGCGCAGTCCGAGGGCCAAGATTTTCCCCCGTACAGACAGAGGGTGCGAGCCCTTGGAGAAGCACTGGAATTAAAAAACACCAGGTCCACCGGGGGGGATCAGCAAGAGCTGTTGTGCAGAAGTCGGATTTCTACACCAGTCATGTTCAGACTGTTCGCTCTTATCTGGTCGCGTGCCATTCAGATGTGTGCCCCAAGCTCTCGATACCCGCTCTCTTCGTCTTCGAGCGTGCCCCCCTTGGTTGTATATCTTCCTTACCTGCCGCGTGAAGTTGGCGCAGCCCCTAAAACAGGGGAAGGAGGGGAAGAGGGAAATGACAGCGGGAGGAGGAAGGATGGAACACGCGTGATATTTGCAAGGGGAGGGTTCGGAGGAGGAGGGAAAGAAGCAACATAACCAAACACGGGTCGGGAGGGCGAACCTTAATGGGCAACTCTGGCGGGCGGGCCCAGACGGCCAGGTCGAACGGGCGGGCCAGTGAAGCGTCACTACAACATGAATCGCAAGGATGTTTTCAGCGATAGTGCGATTGCCACGTGAATCATCAGGAACTCTCTAGATCGAGAGCGTGATTCCTAAGTCTTGGGGGCACGTCGCCGCAACACATTGTGAAGACGGATCGCGCGAGAGCGCGGCTCCTGCATAGGTTCGGAGGACATCCTGCGCGAGAACGCGAATTTAAATGAATTGCGAGGAGGTATCATGCCGGGTCGCTGTTGCTGTAAGCCGAAGGCCAGGGGCGCAGTCAGAGGACCAAGTTCTTCAGCGGTACAGCAGCAGGGTGCGATCTGCGGGAGGAGGAGGCTGCGATCTGCAGGAGGTGCACCGGAGGGGGGAACCAACAATGTTTTTCCCCCAACCATCCTGTAGTGTTGGGTCCTCGTTTTGACGAGACAGCGAACCACGATCTCCCGCCTCCTCCCCCCGCTCGCTCCTCCCTTCCCGTGACTCTGCTCTCCGCCCAGTGCAGCGATTCGTTGCGAAGCTCCACCGAAGGTCCCAGTGGCGGACCTCGCATGCAGTTCGTGCGCCCAGTGCAGCATTTCGTGGCCCCATAGGGAGCTCCACCGTAGGTCCCAGTGGCGGAACTCGCATGCGCATCCTGCGCCCAGGACAGCGTTCCGTGGCCCCATGGGGAGCTCCACTGAAGGTCCAGTGGCGGAACTCGAATGCGGCTCCTGCGCCCAGTGCAGCGCTTCGTGGCCCCATAGGGGGCTCCACCGGATGTCCCCGTGGCAGAACTCGCATGCGCCCTCCCCGCCCAGCACAGCGTGTCGTGGCCCCATCAGAAGTCGAACCGAAGGCCCCAGTGGCTGCACTCGCATGCGGTTCCCTGCCCAGTACAGCATTTCATGGCCCCATCGGGAGCTCCACCGAAGGCTCCAGTGGCGGTGTTCGCAGGCGTCACCCCTACCCAGTGCAGCGCTTCGTGGCCCCATCGGGAGCTGCACCGAAGACCTCAGCGGCACCGCCCGCATGCGTCACCCCTACTCAGTACAGCGCTCCGTGGCCACAAAGGGAGCTCCACCGCAGGCCCCAGTGGCACCGCCCGCAGGCGCCCCCTCCACCCAGTACAGCGTGTCGTGGCCCCATCGGAAGCTCCACCACCGAAGGCCCCAGTGGCTGCACTCGCATGCGGCTACCCCGCTCTGGAGCTCCACCGAAGGCTCCAGTGGCGGTGGTCGCATGCGTCACCCCCACCCAGTACAGCGTTTCGTGGCCCCATAGGGAGCTCCACTAAAGGCCCCAGTGGCGGTGTTCGCATGCGTTCCCCCTCCCAGCACAGCGCTCCGTGGCCACAAAGGGAGCTCCACCGAAGGCCCCAGTGGCTGTACTCGCATGGGCTTCCCCGACCCAGTACAGTACTTTTCGTTGCCCAGTTCCACCGAAGACCCCAGTGGCGGCCCCGCTCCATCGCGGCGCACCCCTCACACGTTTCGCGGCCCCGTAGTGCGCTACGCCTAAAGCACCAGTGGCAGCGCCCACATGGCGGCCCCGCCCCACATCGGCACACCCGTCGCATGCTTCATGGCCCCATAAGGAGATCACCCGACGGCGATGCCCGAAACGACGGGACTCACAGCTGCATATGGTTGGGTCCTTCGCCAACGACGCAACAACAATCCGCATGGCGGAAGCCCAGTTCAGCCACGCGCCCAGGGACAGTGAATGACCGTTCGGCCCCCTCACTCGTGTGTGTGTGTGTGTCTCCCTGCCACCTTCTGTTTCTCCATGTCTTCCTCCATGCTCCTCCACCTCCGTCTCCTCCTCCTCCTCCACCTACTCCTCCTCCCCCTCCTCCTCCTCCTCCTCCTCCTCCTCCTCCTCCTCCTCCTCCTCCTCCTCCTCCTCCTCCCCCTCATGCTCGTGCCGCTTCCGCGGCCATGCCCCCCCCCCTTTTGGGCCCTCTGTCGTTCGCCCAAGCCGAGGAGCTTGACGACAAGCACAAGATCACCGAGAAGAGCCAGGCGGCAGTCAAGCAGGCTGCTCCGGGGAGGGGGGCACCCGCCGTCCACCCGAGCACGTCGACCCAGGGCAAGCCTGGGCTCAGGACCGCCTCGGTTTGGTGGGCTCTGCGGCGGGTGGGCGCACCCAAATCCCCGATGTTGTGAGATTTCAGGACCTGGACGCCTAGAAGTCCAGACCCCTTCCTCCAGCCGGGCTTTGCGTCCCGGGACGCTCCTGGACGATCTTGTCTTGGGGCCCGGTGAGGGCCCCGGAGGCCGAATCTTGCCAAACGATCGGGGGCGGCCAAGAGGGGGGGGATAGGGTGTTTATTTGGGGGGTGGGGGGTATCATGGTTTGGGCCATGCTATCTCCCCAGATCTCATGGCGCCTCTTCTTACTTCATGACGTCCCCAGCCCTCCCCTGGGCCGCGCACGTGCCGCCGGCCATGATCTGCTCCTCCCCACCCCCCCTTTGGACGCCCCCCTCTTGGGACGCCCCCGAAACCAAAGCCGTCGTGCACCCTTCGCGGCGAGAGGGCGCCCCGTGGGCAGGCCAGGTGGGCAGACCTGCCGGGCCGGGGCCCACGGCCGGCCCGGGGTCGGGGACGCGTGCGGGCGGACGGCCGGCGCGCTCCTCCCAGGCCTCGGCGGCCGGGACGAGCCTCGTGGGGAAGGCGCCGTCGCGCGCGCACGCGCGCGGGAGTCTGGGCGCCCGAAAGGGGTACGTCACCACCCACCAAACCACCCCAACCCAACCCGAAGGCCCAAATTTACCCTCGATTTCCAGTGGGGGGGGGGGTCGGGAAACATAGAAAAAACACATGTGGAACCCTTACCCCCCCCAACCCGAAACTCGGGTCTTCGGGTTGGGTTGGGGTGGTCTGGTAGGTAGTCAGTACGGGAAACGTGGGTACAGTGCCGAACGACAACAGCTGTCCCAAACCGACGGCGACCGCTGTTGCGCAGGCGGCCTTTCGTCTTCAAGAACAGCGTCCGCGGCGGCGCGGACAGCGAGCCCTGTTCAGCATGAGCAGGAACTGCTGTTGGGCATTGTACCCATTCTTCCCGTTGCCATTTCGATCGTCCCGAAGAAGGGCGGGGCGGAGAAGGGGGCAGGACCCAGGCTAAATATTCTGTGCGCCGGGCAGGAGCAAGTGTCTGGCAACGACCTTCAGTGAAGGCGAGTCCCGAGTCCCCAGGCCAGTCTGGTGCGAGGAGGTGCAGGAGGGCTTGTACGTTAAGCTTTCCGAGAGGGCGGGTTGGAGAGGGGGCAGGGTCCAAACCTCCCACCTTCGTTGAAAAATCACGGCCCGATGGTTTTGGCAGTTTTCGACAGGAGGGGGAGGGGGAGGAGGAGGAGGAGGAGGAGGAATAACAATAACAGAAGACGAATAAGAATAATAATAAGGATAAGCAAAGAGGAATAATAATAAGACAAAGGCGAATTATGCAAATTGTGATCATACGAATCATACGAGTAAGAAGGGTAATATGAGGATCAGGAGGAGGAGGAGGAGGAGGAGGAGGAGGAGGAGGAGGAGGAGGAGGAGGAGGAGGAGGAGAGGAGGAGGAGGAGGAGGAGGAGGAGGAGGAGGAGGAGGAGGAGGAGGAGGAGGGGGGAGGAGGAGGAGGAGGAGGGGAAGGAGGAGGAGGAGGAGGAGGAGGAGGAGGAGGAGGAGGAGGAGGAGGAGGAGGAGAGAGCGAGCCAACCGGCGTCCGAGTGCACGAGCACCCACCGCGCTCGGGACCCGAGAGCCGCGGGGGCGGCGGAAAAGGCGAACGCCTGGGAGAGTGTCGGTCGAAGGACAACCACTCCCTGAACCCCCCCATAAGTATTTCGAAGCCTACGGCCGCTGGGCAGGGGTCGAGCCAGCAGTCTCCGATCCAGTGCCTCGCTGGCTCGGCTCCAGCCCACGAGTTAGTCTATCTATCGCCGTGAGCTGGTTGCGTCGGGTCGATGAGTTTTTGGACAACCCTTGACACGGAGAGCGCAACTTACGGGCGGACTTGAAGGACTTTGAACCGCTAAGGTTGCCACCGCTCAGTCGGCAACACAACACCGAGTTCACACAAAAGACTTCGTGGCCCAATTCAGCGAATTCGGCAAGCACAGGTTGGGGAACACCGACGGGCGAACGGGAAACGCTCGCCTGTTCGGGCGGCTGTGCAGGGCCCACACCGAGGTCCGCAGGAGGCAGGACGCCGCGGAGGAGGAGGCTTGCTCGTTTCGGGAGGCGGCGCCTCCTGCCCGCTGGGCGATTCCAGCCTCCTGGCGGAGACCCTGCAAAGTCTTTCCTTTTCTCCCAGGGCCCCTGCCCATCCCTGTTTCATCGTTCCTCCCAGTCTCTTGCCCTCGGGCATGGCCGGGCTTCCCTGACCATCGACCTCGTGGGCATGGATCGTGGGGGTGCACAGCATGCGCGGGCATGCGCGAAGCGGCCGCCGTTCCAACGCTGCCCCGCACATGGGCGCACAGGTGGGTGTGCCCGCGCTGTGCGGCATGAGCACAGGGGGAAAACCGAAGCGAACAAAGTGAGCATTACACGAGTAACCTTTGTATCATTGAACCCTGCGCAAGAGCGGCGTGGTGTCTGGGGCGGAGCGCCCCGCATCTGCGAGAGAGAGAGAGAGACAGAGAGAGAACTGATCAAACATCATTAGAGAGAGAGAGAGAGAGAGAAATCAGCAGTAACAACAACAACAACAACAACAACAACAACGATAGACATACACACAGAACGACGGACAGAGACAGAGGTATGCGGGCATGTATGTGGGTGTGTGTGTGTGTGTGTTCGCTCCTCGCGCCGCCGAGCCCGATGGCGGCCAGCTCGATGGTAGCGAGTTCGGCCGAAGCCGATTTGGTCGCACAGATGGGGTACCACCAGCGTGGATGACCCCACCGCGGCGGTCGGGCGTCCAGACAGCTTCGTCCGCATCGCGCAGAAGAAGCCACAGAACCGCACCAGGTGTTCCATGGACCGCGGCAGGCGGACGCTGGCGTGGAGGTGCACGGCGAGACGGCGGCAGCGCACGCCAAGCTCCACTTCCACAGCCTGGCGATGCCCGAGAGGCCAGACGGTGCACGCGGACCCTAGTTTCCTCGCCCCGTGCGCTCGGCGTGAGCCAGGGGGCACAGTTCGAAGAACGGCTATATGATCAGTCGGGCGCCAGATGTCTCTGTCCCTCAGCCTTCTTCCCCTGCCCTCCACCCACCACCCACCCCTTCTGGCGCCCAGCTGGCGTAGGGATGTCGCCGGTGGGCACCCAGGGAATGAAATGGCAAACCTGGGCAGAATTGGCTTCGCAGGGCGCAGCGGGCACGCGGCGCGCACGATGCTCCAGGCGTCAGGGCACGAGTTGCTGCTGTTGCTGCCGCCGTTGCTGCTGTTGCTGGCTTATATATTACTACTTGTAGGATGAGTAACGAGACCAGAAGAGAGATTGGGTACCGCATATGCCCTGCACACACCGTCCCACGACTCTCATTCCCACCCCCCCTCTTTTCATAGGTCTGGAACTGCTGGGGCTTGTAACCCAGCTGCTGGCATACGTCCTCACCACGGTCCTTTGGGCCTGCATCTCTGCGGGCCGTCAAAGCAAGCTCGAAAGAAATATAATGCGACACGCGAGCATGGGAGTTGGAAAGCAAATCGTTAGAGCTCCAACCATCAGAGCAGCACGAGCGATCATTAGCATACTGCTCCTAAGGAACACGCCTGCAGCGTTCACGAGCGTTCTGAGGGGTGATATCAGGCTGAACTCGATTTCGATCGAGACGGATACAACATGCGCAGAGGGAAGGTGAATGTGAGGGGAGGATCAGATGCATTCTGCTGCTGCTGCTGTTGCTGCTGCTGCTGCTGCTGCTGCTGCTGCTGCTGGTGCTGCTGCTGCGCCCACCCATCGGTAAGCAGCAGCACATAAGGCACTGTGATCAATCATGGAAGCTAGAACTCGCGCCATATCAGGACTCACGTATGGGATGCATTCGCAGAAAAGTGCGAATCTGCTTGTAGTGACTGTAACTGGCATTCATGTGAGGGCTGCGAGGCGATTGGTTCGCCTCGTTCGTCTACGAATCCAACGGTACATCGTCAGTCCTCAGACAGAATTTTGATCAGCGGATTCACCTTCTCAGTCTTGTTGCGGCCTGCGTTCTCACTCAACTCACTGTGTTTGAGCACCTCATTGAGGGCCGTCTGCGTAATCGTCGGGGTCTCGATGAATGTTGCAAGCCATTCGTCTATACTCTCTGGCAAAACGTCCCTGTCCGTCTCGGGCCGCATCTTCTTCGAGAACTCGTTTCTCCTCGCCGGGGACAGCTGCGCTCAGCTGCTGCTGCTGCGGAGCCGCTGCCGCCCCGACCTCTGCTCGCCCCCGGGCAGTTGTTCTTCATTCCCGGCTTCCGTCCCAGACCAAGGAGAAGGAGGAGGAGGAGCAGGAGGAGGAGGAAGGGAAGATGGAGGAGGAGCAAGAGGAGGAGGAGGAGGAGGAGGAGGAGGAGGAGAGAGGAGGAGGAGGAGGAGGGAGGAGGAGGAAGGAGGAGAAGAGGAGGAGGAGAGAGGAGGAGGAGAGGAGGAGGAGGAGGAGGAGGAGGAGGAGGAGGAGGAGGAGGAGGAGGAGGAGGAGGAGGACCAGGAGGAGGAGGAGAAGGAGGAGGAGGAGGAGATGGAGGAAGAGCAGGAGGAGGAGGATGAGGACTCCGAGAGAGTCGTCCCTGAGGGGGACGCCCTCCCGTCGCGACGAAAAACTATGTCGGCCTCTGGTAGCCCTCGCCAGGCCCCGCTGCCGTCAAGAGGCGACTCGGATTAACCGCCGGCCACAGGGAAGGGGTCTGGACCACCCCTGCGGGTCCACGCTGCGAGAAAAAACACGGCGTCAGAAACTCGGCGATGTGTATGGCCCGTACGGCTGGACAAATTCCACGAGTGGCAATGCAGCTTGTGGGTCGCAGCGATGGATTCCCCCAAAACGCTCGGTTGCGTTGAGAATCGTTATCTGTGGCGTGGTCCTGCTCGTCAAGATGTCCCATCTGGTTTTGCAGATCCCTTTCGAAGCCTACACGCGGGGCAAAGTGCCAGAGCACGGTCGGAGTATATAAGCAAATCATATTGTATGCAGCGCGGGACGAGACAATGTGATGACCGTGGTGCACTGCTTCTCTTGTACTTCCCCGCGGACGTGGTGGACGAAGGAGAGCGAAACTGTTGCAGAAATGATGGGGACTGAGCCTGGGATTTTCAGAGCACCAGCTCGCAAACTTGCGTTTCGCGGACGGCATCTTTCTTGCGTCGGGAACGTTCAGACATATTCAGGATCAAGGCCATGCTGAAGGACGTCTGGCTTGTCGCAGCTAGTGTGGGCCTCGAAGTACACCCCGGCAAGACCAACATACTGATCAATGCGATGCGGGGGACAGGTCGACCGAGAGGGCCCGAAGGGGAGGATGAAAGGCATAAGTGTTGCTATTGTCCCGTTTCGCTGACAGCATGCAATAGTTTGGCAGGCTGGTGGGTTCTGGCAGACTAATCCGACCAGTCGCTTCCTGAATTGTTTGGACAACTTATAGGCAGTATCGTTCATAATTCACTGACAAGCAGCACTCGTCGAATTCACGTTTGGAGTTGTTCGATTGAACCGAAGCAGCCACGATGAGGTACGAGTTGGCCACATTTGCGCTCACGCGCGAGCTTGAGGTCAACATTCGGCGGACAAGCAAGAACATGTTGCGACTGATCATCCGCGCAGCCAGGCGCAGAGTTCGCGCCCAATCCACTTCTACATCTCCGCCTTCATTCAGTACTCTGTCGTCGCCTTTTCCCAGTAGTTCGCGGTTTTGTTCCAGCTCTTTCGAGCCATGGGCCGATTTCATTCAGCGCTCGACGCGCGAAGCAGCGAGGAGCTTCGCTGGCTACGTCTGCGAGACTGGGCTACAGAACGACGCAAGACACCCATGCAGTGGCACGAAACATCGGCACGGAAATTCCACGTTTCCGAGCGTGAATTACCTACCCCGCTTTCGCTTCCAGGCAAAACCAAGTCGTACCACGCGCCTCCTCGTCAAGCGGCCTGACCAGTACAGGCCGTAGTTTGGCATCGCTTGGTATCTCTTGGAAGCGAGGGAGGTCAAAAGCGAGGTAGGTTTGTTTTCCTCCTAACGTGGGGCGCAAGCGGCAATCAGTTTGGAGGCATTCGGCTGCGCCAGACGTGCAGAAAGCCCGCGAACGAGAGGGGCCGACACGGCCAGAGGCTACGACGATGACGACGACGACGACGACGACGACGACGACGACGACGACGACGACGACGACGACGACGACGACGACGACGACGACGACGACGACGACGACGACGACGACGACGACGACGACGACGACGACGACGACGACGACGACGACGACGACGATGGCGACGACGACGACGACGACGACGACGACGACGACGGCGGCGCTGGCGACAGCGGGGGCGCCACCGCTCCGTGTCCTCACGGGGCCGCGCCCCGGCGCGCACGTGCGCATCTGTCCGCCCGCGTGCCCCCCCGTGCACCAGCGGCGACCTCTCCGAGGCCTGCACGGGCTCTTCCTCCTGCCTCCTCCTCCTCCTCCTCCTCCTCCTCCTCCTCCTCCTCCTCCTCGTCCTCCTCCTCCTCCTCCTCCTCCTCCTCCTCCTCCTCCTCCTCCTAGGCTCTTCCGCCTCCGCCACCGTCATTATCCTCGTTGCTTGCGTCGGCCTTCCTTGGTGGAATTCAGCCCAGGCAGCAGGCAGTCGCCCAGAGCATATGCAGCTACGCACGGCGGCAGGGCGTGCGCCCATACGTCTCGGAGCACAGCGGGCTGCTTGCTCGCGTGGCAAGGCCAAGGCTTGTCGCCAGGGGCAAGCCAAGGGCAAGCCAAGGCAACATGCTCCTGCCGACGCAGGCAGTCTAGAGGTCGGGAAGATGTTTGGTGCAGTTGGCGCGGTGCACGTGATGAACCGCAAGTGCACTGCATGTTGATTTCAATCGCTCTCGCTCGGTGGCGGCCTTGCAAATGGCGTCATGATGTGCGCTTCCAATTTTCACAAGCGGTCTCTCTGAGGATATAAGCGGCGACTCGCAACATCACCCCAGAACCTTCGATCGCACAGCACAGTGTTCTTGTAACTCTTGTTGCAGATTCCCAGATTTTCCATAGTGGTATAGCGCGGAAGCGTTACCCAGCCTGGCGCACCGCGCAGCGGCGAAGCGCGATCTGGAAGGGGAGAGGAGGCGGTGTTGGAGGAGGAGGAGGGAGAGGGAGGAAAGAGGGGTGGCACGTGGAGGAGTTGGAGCGCTAGAGTGGAAAGTTTGGGGTTGGAGGAGGGGGGGTGCAGGAGGGGCAGGAGGATGATGGGGAGTGAGTCCCGGGTGGGAGCTGGCGCCGCCTACGGATGGAGGGTGGCGGCGGTGCGTGACGCGGGGCGCCTGCGCAGATCAGCGACTGGTTCAGCGGCAGCAGGCCCGGTAGCGCCAACAGCTCGAACGCCACGAAGTAGGTGGACGTCTCGGGCAGCAGGCGGCTGGGGGGCGGGAGTATTGGGCAGCACGTACGTCAGCATCGTTTAACCGATCCCCATCTCCATCTCCATCCCCATCCCCATCCAGACCCCCACCATCTCATCCCCCCAGTTGGGGATACACCCTTCGAAATCTGACAGAAACTGCCTACATCCCCATCTAGGTGGGTAAACTGGCCAGTGGGGCCCAGGCCACGCGAGTGGGGATAGGGATCGGTTAAACGATGCCCAGTAAGGTTGAGCCCCCCCCCACCCCCCCAGCTCCGAACGAAAGTCGCGCACAAAAGGTCACGCGTGCTTCCGGCCACTCTTGCGTACAGCCGAGAGGAAGCGCGCCCATCGCCGTAAGGCCTTCCCACAGGCCCGCTGGGGGGCCCGATGCTGGTGGGCATGCGTTCTCACGAGGGCAGGGCCGGGAGAGGCCACGCCCACCAAGACCCGGCCCCCCCCCGGACGGGTTGAGCATTCAAGGAGGGGACTATCCAGCACCACCGCCTGGGGGACCTCGCCAGGCGGCGGACATACGTATTCGGAAGCGGCACCCATACCGCTGCCCTGCTCTCATTCTCTCCTTCTTGGGCCTCCTGACAGGCCCTCGTCGCCACCGCTGGATTCGCCTCTCGATGTCCTGGTCAGAAGGCACCCCTTGAGAGGTCCGGGGAGTGGCGGTATCGGTCCCTTTTGGGTTTCTCCAAATATGTTCAGGATCCGAGGTGGTCGAACATATCCATACCCACCGCCTGCCGAGGTCCCCGAAGATCGATCTCCAAGGTTGTTGTGATGGATAAGTCCCCGCCTCGCAGTGTGGGGACCAGGTGCTGGCTGTGGTGTGCTCCTCCTCCCATGGGCGGTACGTCTCGTCTCTGGAGGGGGTGGTAGCGGCCGGGGCCAAGGCCAGGGGTTGGTCACGAGAAATCCCCGCCCACCTCTTTGGTCCCCTGGTTTTCGTGACCCTCCCTCCTTCTCGCCCTGCCCCTCCCCCCTGCGACCCCTCTTGGCCGCTCTGGTGCGCGGGCGGGGAGGGGGAAGCGTTGGCAAAGTGGCAGGCTTCGGAATCCGAAACAGGAGCCTGGGAGCAGGAGGACAGAGACTGACTGGATGAGGAAGAAGAAAAAGGGGAGGCAGGAGGGGAGGCAGGAAAATACGTATACATATTTAGCACACGCCTTACGATCGAACCGAGATATAAGAGGGTACCTGTTCTGTCTCTGATTCGTTTTCCTACTTTAGTGCGAAGGGCCCCAGGAGTTTCTGAGCAAGGGGGCCGCGTCCTGCTTGTCGCTGCTCCTGTCTTGCTCTCTCTCTCTCTCTCTCTCTCTGCACCCGAGACCGCTTCCGCTCAAGCTCTCCTCTCTCTCCAGGGGGCCGCGCCCCTTTGCCCTCCCGCGCGACGCCCCTCCAGTCAGTGACCTCCGAAGCCCCCCTGGCGGCCGGTGCGCCGGAGGGGCCGCGTCGTGGCAGCGAGGCGGGGCGCGGCCAGGAGGCCGCCGGCGGCCACCTGCGCTGGGCGGCGACCTCGTCGGCGGGGACCTCCAGGATGCCTCGCGGCGGTGCCGGACCTCGCCGGCGGGGACCTCCAGGATGCCTCGCGGCGGTGCCCGACCTCGTCGGCGGGGAGCTCCACGATGCCTCGAGGCGGTGCCGATATGGACCACCGCGGAGGGGAGCCGGCCGCGCCGGCCGTCCAGGTGCCCGCGCCGCCTGGGAAGGCGCCCCCCTTCTGCCTCGGCGCGCTCACGACGACGGGCGGGAAAGGGCGGGGGGGGGCGGCGGGCGGCAGCGCCACCAACGCGATCAGGACCTCGGTGGCCAGTCGCTCCGCGGCCTCGGTGCCCAAAAGGGTGCGGCCGCCGGTGGCGGCGCCGGCGGAGGGGCCTCCTCCAGCCAGAAGCTCGCCGCGCGCCCGTGGCGCGGGGCGGGCACCGCCCGGCCGAGGCGACGGGAGCTCGGCCAGCGGCGTCCCGAGCCCCCTGGAGTGGTGATCGTGCGCGTCCGCAGCTTGCTGACGGACCCCGTCGGCTACTGTCAGGAGGGGGAAAAAACACAGACACAATTAATCGTCGATTCCCAAGAACATATGGGAAAATATGGGAATTGGGGGGGGGAAGACGAAAAACCAGAAAATGTAGGAAAATATGGGGAACAGGTTTCTTTGTGTGTATGTGTTTGTGTGTCCCAGGGCCCCTTCATACTGGCACCACAGCGTGCACGACAGCGACCGGGTCCAGGGTCTGCGCGTGCGGGTCGCCGACGGCGCTGGCCCGGCGCCGATCGAGATCGTCAGAGGCACGCCGGCGAAGCTCCTTTCGGACGGGCCGCCGCTCGCCGCCGCGGGCGTGGACGGCGAGGGCGACGTGAGCGCGACTCGTCGCGTCCGCGGTGGTGCTGACGAGGACGCCCCGTCCGACGGCGACGCCGAGGGTAAGTTTCCTCTCGAGGTGCTGGCTTTCGCCACGGAGGACGACCCCACGATCCTCGAGCGAGCGTGCGTGGACTGCGGTCTGAAGAGTGGTCGCTTCTGCGACTACTGTCTCGCGGCGAGCCGTTTCCCGATGGTCGACGCCACCAGCCGCGGCTGGGCGCCGGGCCAGCTGACCCCGCTATATGCAGCGCGTGCGACAACTACCTGGACGGGTGCCACTTCTGCCTCGACATCTGGGTCACGCGGCTGGTCGAGAGCTACCACCTCGGCGATTTCGGCGCGTGGACCAGGACCGCTCCGGGGGACGCCCGGAACCCAGGCTGGACCTCCAGCCAGGACGTTGTCCCGGGGAAAGGCGGCGGCGACGGCGACGGGCGCGACTACGGCGCGAGCGGAGGAGAACGAGGCGGCGGCGGTCGTGATCGCGGCGCCAGCGACCGTGGCCGCGGGGCCGTGTCCGGCGCCCCCGTGGCCCCATGATGGCTACGCTGGCTGGGGAGCCCCCCGACCCTGGCCAGCTTCAGGGGCTTGGCGGCCGCCCCAGACTGGCGGATTGGCGGGGCAGTGCCGACGGCGCCATGGCGTCGCCTCCTTGGCTCGGCTCTCCGCCTGGGTTCTCTCCCCCCGGCCATCGCTGCGCATCCGCGGATGCGAGCCAGGCCAGGAATCCCTTCGAGGGGGTCTCCTCCGAGGGTCGGACTGCGTCCACATCTTTGTTTCCTCTGCCTGACGGTGATGGATTTTGTCGTCGGCCTCAGTATCTGGTTCAGCGGTCTGCTCGTGCTGATAATCGTGGCCAAGGGTCTCTCGAGACGCCTGGGAGCGCTCAACGCGTTGGCGGCTTCACGGGCTGGCGGGCGTCTCGAGCTTCGAGCGCCGCCCAGGAGTCGGTCATCAAGCGAGTCCGCCGTCGTGTCCGCGGCTTCGGCGACCAGCCGAAGGACATGGCCTGCGCCCGAGCCCTTCAGGAACTCCTCAAGCGCAAAGATCTCTACTCGGATACGGGCGAGGCCTAGTCGCCGCGACTATGATGCTGACAAGCTCAATGCTCTGCGACGGCCTACTCGCGATCGGCCGCGACAGCTCCGGGACGTGGCAGGCACCTCGCCACATCGCGGAGGTCTCGGACCACTTCGACTCGGACATCGTGCGGCCCAGGACGAACATATCCGAGGACGAGAGAGACCATCACCGAGCCCTAATGGGATCCGGCCTTCAACCCTCGGGGTCTGGTCCTCAGCCATCACCGAGCGGCGATGCGTCGACATCCTCCGACGGTTCGCCGCTCGGGGACTCGCGGGGGGTCGGCAGCGTCGGAAGGCGTGTGTCAGCAACTTTTTGGTTGCCAAGAGGAAAGGTGACATGACCATTGTGGTCGACGCGCGTCAGCCGCACCAGCTTCGCAAGCTGCCTCCTCGGATGGCCCTGGCGTCGGGAGGTGCCCTCGGACAGCCCACGCACGTCCATCCCTGTTGAAAACCATAAGGCCTCTGAGAGAAGTTTGGCATCAGAAGACCCGCAGAGGGGTGCGCGTCCCGAGCACCGAGTACCACATTTAGTGGAATGTCGTAGAAGGCGCCCGCGGCACATGACCGCCGGCCCCTGCCTTTGGGAAGCGCCTGTGCGGCCGAGGGCTGTGGCCAGAGCTCTGCCACGCCGTCGGACTGCGTGCCCCCCCAGCCGTGGTGGGAACCCCTTGGGGAACACTTGGGGAGGGCGGAGGAGAGCGGGAGGGAAAAGGAGGAGGAACAGGATGAGGAGGAAGAGGACTGTTGGTGGTTTTTGAGGCACTCTCGAGGCCCCCGTTGCGCCTCCTGGGGTTCTCTTTGGGTCTTTTGTTTTTTTTGGGGGGGGCTCCTTGGGAGGCTTCTTGGCCGCTCTTGGGGCCATTTTGGGCGCTCTTGGGGCCACCGGTCGTCTCAACGAGCCGAACATGAGCAAACGCCAGCATCCTTTTCAAACTCAGAAGATAATCAATCATGCTGGTCTCTATTAAGGCCTTTTTTCTGGAGGTCCTCTGGGAGGCCTCTTGGACTGCCTTGGAGGCTTCTTGGGCTTTCGTGTGCGATATTGATGCCATATTGGGGGCATGACGGCCCGTATGGGCGAAACCATGGGGCCATCATGGGCTCTCCTGGGGCCAGATTCGCAATTTGGGAGGCCATGTTGGCTGTGCTGGGGGCCACCTTGGGGCCGCCTTGTGGTGAACGACCGGTGAGATATGACATCGTCGCGTCCTTCTGGTTGGCCGGCGCGATCGGCCGAGACCCCATTCTGAACATTTATAAGGCCAGCTCGTTGCCCCAACTTGTTGACGCTTCGCGTGTCCCCGCCAGCCGAGTGCGTTCGCCTTCTTGTGGAGCATTTTGCTTAATGCATGTGCACATTCGCTCTCTTTGCTGATTTTTACTGCAGGTGCGTTGCCTGTTGTAGCTGATTAGCCTCGCCTGCTGGCCCAGACGACGCCTTCCGCTCCCTGTCCGCCGCCTCGGAGCCGCCGACCAAAAAAAACGTATCCCCGCCAGCCCATTCAGAAACGATGCCCAGGAGAGCTGAGTTGACCAGGTGGCAGTTGTTATCGTTCGAGGAGGAGGAGGAGGAGGAGGAGGAGGAGGAGGAGGAGGAGGAGGTGGAGGAGGACGAGGGGGAGGAGGGCGAGCAGAAGGCTAGAGGCCTGGTGGATGCCTTTCGAAGTCTCGTGGGATGCCTCGCGGGGGGGTCCTGGGAGGCCTCCTGGGCCGTCTGGGGGGCCTCTTGGGGGCCTTTGGGGGGCCTCTTTGGGCTCGTTCGGGGCTCTCTTGGGGGCCCTGTAGGCCCTCTTGAGGCCATCTTGGAGGAGGTCGCCCGAAGAAGGTGGGTGCTTTAATTCGCGCCCCCCCCTCTCGAGCCCCCAAAGTCGGCTCTTGGAGCCCTCTTGTGGCGCTCTTGGTCACTCTGTCCATCTTGGCGCCTCGGAAAGCCATCAGAAGCGAAAGGGCGAGAAAACAAGCAATTGTTATTTTCATGGGTTTGGGGTGGATGTTGGCCTATTGGGTGCTCTCTTGGGGGTGATCCGAGGCCACTTGGAGCCGTTTTGGTGCGGTCTTCGAGCCTCTTGGATCACGTTCGAGGCTATCTTAAGCTATCTTGAGCCAGCTTGGAGGACATGTTGGGTTCTCTGCGGCCCTCTTGGAGCAATACTGGGACATCTTGGACGCTCCAATCGGTCGCGGGGCGCCCCGTCCAGGTCCAGGCGGGAAGGGCAGGGGGACGGATAAACCCGGGACGAAGGGAACACGGAAGAGAAAGCTCGCTAAAGCACCTACGCTTGGAGGGCTGGTGGGATTTGGGCACGCCGTGCACCCTTGTGGCAAGCCAGCAGGGGACTGCGGATCTAAGACGCCTGCGGCGAATCAACGCCGCCCCTTGCCTTCTGGAAGCGCCCATGCGGCCAAACGTTGGGCCGAAGTCTGGCCAAGCTATGGGATTGTGTGCTCCCCCGGCCGTTGTGGAACCCCTTGGGGGAACACTAGGGGGAGGAAGAGGAAGGACGAGGTTGACGACCGGCACGAAGAATCCGACTCTGCCTCGCTCTACCTATCAAAGAGCGATGGCAGGCGGCCGCGCATGGGGGCCTCTATGGGAGCCCTTGGCCTTCGGAGGCCGCGTTGGGGGCCCCGCGTTCTGGCTGCCTCGGAGGTCTCCCGGGCTGTCCTTGGGGCCTCTTGGGTGCCCTGGGCAGTCTCGCGGGCCTCTTGAGGGCCTCTTGGGCCGTCTTGGGGCGATCCTGAGGGCTTGTCGGCCCGTCTTGGAGCATCGGGTGCCCGCAGAGGCGAGAGCGCTACATTCGTTCGAAGCCCATCGGCGATTCATGATTCTGGCCTCCTGGAGGCTCCTCTTGAAGCCCTTTGGGGGCGTCCAAGGGGCCCCTTGGTCTTCAGAGGCCCTCTTGGGCCCTCCCTGATGGGCAGTCGCGGGTCCCTCTGTAAGCGCTCTAGGGCAGTTTGGGAGGTCTCTGGGGCAGTACCTCGTGGGCCGCCTTGGGGCGATCTAGGGGGGGCCTACGGGCCCGTCTTGGAGCGTCGGATGCCCCAGACAGCGAGAACGCTAGCACCATTGAAAAACCGAAGGGGGAGTCAATGATTTTGGCGTCTGAGGAGCCTCGTGGCATTCAGAGTCCGCCGTGGGCCCTCCCTGGGCAGTCGCGGGCCGGCCCCTTGGAGAACGTCAGGACAGAGGAGAGGTTCATGTCGATTCCTCCGATTCGATTCGATTCAAATGTGGTGGTTTCCGATTCCGATGCGATTCGATTTGGGATTTCGATTCGGGGTCTGATTTATTAGTGGAGCCCTAATAGGCTGCCGACTTCCACCGACTCGACTTTTCCCGACTCGGCTGCCGATTTCCGCCGATCCGAGTCATTTCGATCGCCGATCCGATTTGTCGATTCGACTCCGGGGGCGCCTGCAGAGGACCGAAGGACTCCAGGTGACCTGCGGACACTCCCATTCGTGCCTCGCGGCACGGTGGCGGCTGTGAGAGGGCCTGTGTGATGGGGCGTGTCACGGGGTTCCGGAAGGCGTGCACCTGGTGCTTTCCCGCTGGTGTCGTGCAGGCTTCTGGTGCCCGAGCCCTGTGAAGCTGTCGAGCTGGAAAGGCATCCTGTGGTGCCCTTCCGTGCCCGCCCCGTCCCGCACACGGGAGCGTCGCTCCCCCCCCCCCCCGCAATGTGGGGAGGTGGGCGTGCGGGCCGCCCTCCTCTAACCTCAGACGTGCCACGCCCGGCGTGTTGGTGGGGTGGTGGGGGTGGTGGGCCACAAGGGACATGGATGGAGGCGGACTAAGAGGAGCAGGAGAAGGAGCAACAGAGGGGGCAGTCTGGGGCAGGAGCACGGTTTTTGGATCAGGATCGGGAGCAACCGACAAGGAGAACAGCAGGCTGAACAGACGAGAAGGAGGAGAAGGACGCCAACTTGCGCGGCAGGTCCCTTAAATACAGGGCACGTGCCGGGTCATGTGCTCCTCTGCCGACCCCAGCCCCCACTTGTTATTTGGGGCCCCATACTTGGAAAGAGCGCCGCCGCCCGCCTCTGCCCGAGGCGCTGGCCCCGACATCCTATTTTTGGGCGAAGAGGAGACGGAGGGGCAGGTGTCGGGTGTTGGGGGGGGGGGGGAGGATGAGCGACAGCAGGAGAGGGGCAACAGGAAAGGGGGCAGGAGACAGGGCTATCGTCAGGAGCATTAAGGGTACGGTGAGAGGGGTGATGGAGATGAGCAGGGCGAGTAGGAGAAGGAGGAGGAGGAGGAGGATATTGAAGCGGAAGGCAAGATGATCATGATTAGGCGGCGCGATGCTCGAGGCAGGAGCATCGCACGTGTGTCGCGAAGGAGGAACAGGGGGAACCGAGAAGAAGCAGGAGCAGGAGCAGGAGCAAGAGGAGGAGGCAGAGGCATGTGATAATTTGTATAGGGGGATAGACGTCGAGGACCGCATTCGAGGATGATGGAGTGGGGAGGGGCGGAGGAGGAGAGAGGAGGAGGAGGCGAGGAGGAGGAGGAGGAGGAGGCGGGGGCATGGCGAGGAGGAGTAGGAGGAGGAGGAGGAGGAGGAGGAGGAGGAGGAGGAGGAGGAGGAGGAAGAGGGAGGAGGAGGAGGAGGAGAAGGAGGCAAGGGGTGGTGGAAGCAGGGCAGGGGAAGGGATAGGGAGGGGTTTTTGATGCTGCGTCGCCGTGTCGCGGCCTGGACCCATGTGTGTCACGTGTTTGTGTTCTGCCCCCGTGCACACGACCCCCTTGCGCGTAATGCATTCGCATTGTTCCTCCTCTGGTTCGGCTTTCCTATGCGGTCGCACTGGGGAGGGGTACACCTCCCCAGTCAATCGTCATCTATCCTTCCTCGTCACCTCTCGTTCCTCCTCCCTCCTCCTTCTCCACCGTCCTCTTCGCTCCTGGCCCTTCCTCTTTATCCATACTGCGTGGTTTTGAGAGTGCCCAGCTACACCAGGGGTAAGCATTGCACGCGTTGTCCTCTTTTGATGGTCCCTCGTTGCCAGTGGGTTGCCTCCCCCACCCAACACCACCGAGAAGGCCAGGCCGACAGGGGAAGGTGCACGCAACAGGTGTGGGTGAGGGGAGGACGAAGAGGAGGCATGGACTGGGACACGGAGCAGGAGCAGACGTGTGAACCACGGAGAGGCGGGGATGAAAGGGAAGGAGAGGATGCATTGGAGGGACGGTCGGACGGAAGAGGATGAAGACAAGGGGGCGGAGTAGCTGGATGTAGCAGCAGAAATCGCGGGCAGTATCGCCAATGTTGTGGGGCACCCACTCGCCGCACACTGGGACACAGACAAAGCGTTTACTTGTTCGTGCTTGTTCGCCTACAGTTGTGATAAGAGGTTGTCGGGCATGCGGGGCCACGGCCCGCATGGTGAGCAGGACATCATGAGCTTCCGTAAGTTCAGCCAGGGGGAAGTCGTTAGGGAACGCAATCAGGCGTGGGGTGCGTAAGGGCGAGTTGGGCCACTGACGGCGGCATCCATTGAGCAGGCAGGAAAGGTGTATGTATGGTTGTCAAGGTTTAGCGCGTTGGGTCAGAAATCAGAGTGGTATCATTTGTTTGGACCACGTGTTTGCTGGGCAGCTTAACCTTCTCTCGTTTGCCAGATCGAGGCCGGGCTAGTGGCACAATTTGAAAACTTTCACAGACTCGAGTATCATAGCAACCAGCCTCTGGTGACCTTGTATTCTCGTGATTGTCCTGGTTCGCCGGAGCTGTTCAGGCCGCGATGGGCTGCCGCTCATCGTGCGGATGACGAGCGGGATGGGACTCTCGCACTTTCAACAGCCTGACCGCCAAGGCGTGACCACAGGCACCTGAAGTAGCGTAGGATCTTCCAGCAGCACCTCCCTATCGGAATTATGTAGTCATTATCCTGCTTCTCTTCCTCTTCTTTTTATTGTGTCTCGTTCGCGGTGTTTCTGTCTAGATGAGTTGTCTTTTGGACGTGCCCTAGTGCTCGTTCTGCATCGGCCGCCATCAGTGTATTGAGTATATATATACATATATATATATATATACATATGTAATTCGTTCCGTTCGCGGGACTAGGCCCTCCCCACTGCAAACACCTAGTGGCGTCGGGGGGGAAAGTATTGGAGACCCTGGTGCTACACCTTGCCATACTCATCCTTGCGGTGCTGCTTGGTTCATACGAACGGGATAAAGCGGCAAGGGGAGAGGGATGTTTTTCCATGTTGTCCTCATCCAGTTGCATTCTCTTTCGCCGCGCCTACGTGCTTCTTTGTACCTCCGTGCCGGCCCTCTCCCTCGCGCAGGGCAGACGCGCGCTTGTCATGCAGCGAGTGTGGCATGCTTTGGCTGTAATCCCTCATGGGGGAATCTATGTGTGTCGATGCGTCTCCTGACTAGTTGATAGTCAGAAGCTCTTCTGTTCGCCAACGCTGGCTAGGAGCAGATTGGTGCTGGAGGAACTTTGTTAGTCGGTGCGGCTTCTTTCCAGGTAATCTTCAGAAGCCCTTGTTGGCCGACGCTAGCTCGGAGCAGAGTGGTGCCACGACCTGGCCTACAGTGACCTGCCTTTTCCTCTTTGACAGGGTCTCACCGCCGAGTGCTCTCAGAAAGGCAGGTGGGCAGGTGCCAATCTTAGCAGCGAGGCTCCTCCAGATCCTACCTCGCTCTAGCCGCGCTGCCCTCCATCCTGTACGCTTGCCTCCGCTTTGCAGCACCGGGGCCCAGAAGGCCTTCCCCCAGATCGTCTCCCGCTCCATCTTCGGTCCCAGGCCTCCCTCCTTGGCCCCAGGGCGACAAATCGACCGCTCGCCCACGACTTTCCGGCGAAATCTGCCCCCCCCCCCCCCCACCCCCCCCCCCCCCCGCTCTCCGCTTCCGCTCCCCCGCTCCCCCCCGCGCTCCTGCCTCACCCCTCTCCCTCGCTCTCCGCCTGCCCGTGCCCCGAGCTGGCTGCCCCCCTCCTCTCCCTCCTCGTCCTCCTCCTCTCTCCTCTCCTCCTCCTCCTCCTTCTCATCCTTCTCCTCCTCCTCCTCCTTCTCCTCCTCCTCCTCCTCCTCCTTTTTCTCCTTCCCCTCCTGTCCCCCAACCGCGCTCCGTTGCGCGGTTCCCCCCGCCCCCCCCCCCGACTGCGCGACTGCGGCCTCTCTGCCCGACGCAGGCGGAGCTCCTGCACCGTGCGTCGCTCCAGTCTCGCGCGCGGCCCCCGGGTCTTCCCCCCCTCCCCTGTCCCGCTCTCGCCCCGCCCCTTCCCCTCCCTTCTTCCTGCCCCCCCCCCCCCCCACAGTTGCATGACATAAGCACGATTCTTCTCTCCCCGCGGGCGCTGTCTTCACGTTATTCTCCACCTTCGAATAATGAAGAACAAGAACGTTATCTATATATGTATGCATGTGTACATATATATATATATATATATATATGCCAACAGGTCAGATTGGACGACCCGCAGGTGATTGCTGGTATCGAGTCTTAGGATCAACAAGTTTTTCGGCCCCTCAGAAGATGTTTCCTGGCTGCAGCTCTGTCAACATAGTTGTGTTTCCATGAAAGCGTCCGTCCAACAGAACGCCGCACTCCCGCATTAGTTCACGTCGCGGTGCCTGCCACATGTGGCAGTGCTTGCTACATACTACATGCTACATCTAGTTCGCCTCAGTTCCCGCCGCAGTGCTAACCACATGTAGATTTTCCCTTGGAGCCCCGCCAGAAAGAACCTCGTTTGCCGCCGCGCTGGCCACATTCTGCGACGGCGAAGGAGGTGTTCCCGCTTCAGCGTTTGCCACGTTCCTGCCCTCCCCTCCCTGCCTTCCCCTCCCGCTTCGGCGTTTGTCACGACGTTGTTTGACGTTGCCCTCCTGCTCTTGCCTGTGTCCCCTGGCCCTCTTGGTCGCCTGTCCCCAGTACGACCTGCTGCCCCGACTCGTCCTCGCCCTTCCTCCCTCCCGAAAAAGCCTCTCCGCCTCCACCAGTCCCCTGCCATCGCGATCTTTGGAGGCCCTGTTGGGGTAAGTTGCCCTTTCGGCATGCCTCCTTCGGCATTCGGCTCTGCTAACATGACCCTTCCTCCCCACCTTCCCCATTCCACCCTTCTCCCCTCGCCTTCCATTCCTCTCCCCCCCCCCGTCCCCCCCGTATCCCCGCCTTCTCTCCTCCTCCCCCCCTCCTCTCACCCCCGCCCCCCCCCCTTTTGCCTGCCCTTCGCCCCCACGTGTTGCACCCCTCACTCCCTGCATGGCGGAGGGGGGGAGAGAGGGGGAGGGGCGGGACGCCACGAGGAGGGGCATGTGAGGCCCGTTGGCAGCAGAGCGACCCTCCGAAGATATCTCCGAGGGCCTCGGGGCCGAAGGCCCCTCCTGGAGGCCCTCGAAGATCCCAAGGGGGCCCTCAGAAGCCCTGGGCCGATGACTTCTCTGGAAGCCTTCGAGGACCAATGACCTCTCGAGGCCCTCGACGGTCCACTGGGGGCCTCCGAGGCCCTGGGCCGAAGACCTCTCGGACGCCTCCGAGGACCGAAGACCTCTGGAAGCCTCCGAGATCCTGTGGGACCCCCGAGAGGCTTCCTCGGCCCCGCCTCTCGCCTGCTCCTGCCGGAGGAGGACGGGCCGGCCCGCAGCATTTTGCCCGAGCTGCAAGAGCACCACCCCTGCTCGGAGGGGGCCCGCGCCGCCTGGGGGAGAGCGGGAAGGGGAGGGAGGAGGGAGGACGGAGGGAGGAGAAGGAGGGAGGAGGGAGAGGAGGAGGGGGAGGGAGGAGGGAGGAGTGAGAGAAGAGGGAGAGGAGACCGAGGGGGAGGGGCGAGGGGGGGGAGGAGGAGGAGGAGGAGGAGGAGGAGGAGGAGGAGGAGGAGGAGGAGGAGGAGGAGGAGGAGGAGGAGGAGGAGGAGGAGTAGGAGGAAGAGGATCCTGAATGTGATGCCTCGAATGCTGGAGGGGGAGCAGACGGGGGGGGGGAGAAAGGAGGAGGTCAGGGAGTGGAGGAGGAGGGAGGGAGGAGCAGGAGGAGCAGCAGCTAGCTGTACGAGCGGGAGCAGGAGCAGGTGTGGCGCATGGCCCCTCGCAGGGCAGCCTCGGGGCTCCCCTGGGCTGCCGAGGTGGGCTCGCCGAGAGCCCACCGGCGCGCGGGCCGCGGCACGCCGCCACGGGCGCAGCCCTTGGCCGCAGCCCCTCGGCCGTCGGCACCGCGCTCCGTCCGAGCGGCGGCGCCGGAGGCGATCGCGTGCCCTTTCTGGCAGGAGCAGTGTGATTTTACTGGGGATGTTGTTTCGAAGTTCAACGGTTTATCCATTCAGATGGCACGAGGTCGCATGCAGTTTTGTGTTCACGATTTTGTTTCGGCCGGTCTATGCATTCGTGGGGGGGGGGGGGCGAGTAATGAGGGGATGGAGAAATGTGCACCTCTCGTGCCCCGACGGAGCCCCGAAGGGGCCCCCTGGGCCCCTGGAGGGTCCCAAACCCAAAGGGTCATGACAGGTGCAGGTTTCTTCGCCCCCCCCCCCCCCCATAGTTGTCGCCCCCCCCCCCCCATGAAGCAACGCCCGATCTCCGAAGCCCCCCTGGCAGCCTGATGGTGGCCAGCCACCAGCCTGGGTCAGAGGAGGGCCCGCTGCAAGACACGGGGTCACAGGTGGCCTTCGCGGGGGAGGGGTCCCTCGGCGCCACGGCTGGACGCGGCACCGGCACACCGAGGCGTTTGGGCCCCGTGAGGGGCCCGAGGACCGATTCTGAGCTGCTGTTGCCTCCGCTCGCCCTGCTCCGACTGGGGCGGGCGGCCCTGGGCCACCACAGCCGCCAGAGCCTTTGGCGCGAGGGTGCCGGCCTCAGACAGGCGACGTCCCGACCCTGATGGGCCTGTCTCCCACCACCGCCACCATAGTTAAGTTGGAGGGGGAGGGGGTCCTCCTCCTCCTACCTCCCTCTTCCTCCTACCTCCTCTTACCTCCTCCTACCTCCTCCTCCTCCTCCTCCTCCTCCTCCTCCTCCTCCTCCTCCTCCTCCTCCTCCTCCTCCTCCATCTCCTTCCCCCCTTCAAATTATGTTGGCGGTGGTGGAAAACAAGCCCATCATACCCTTGCCCCAAAACCGGTTCTTCGTCCTGAGTCGTGCTTGGACGGTCTCAGAGGCCCGGCGAGCGCCCCCCGAGGCCGAACAATAGCCGAGCGCCTCCCGCCCGGGCTTCTTTTTCACGACGCGGTCTTGTCGGGGGCGGCGCTCTCCTCGAGGGCAGCCGCGCCCCTGCCCCCGCGAGCTCGCGCCGAGCGCGCTGCCGCCGGGGCGCGCGCGAGGCGAGCGCCGCCGTGGACCCCGCGCCCTCCGCCCGGGTGCCTTCCTGGGAGCGCGCCGCGGCCGCCCTGCGGCTCGGCCACCGCGCCGCTGTCGGGCAGCCCCGAGCGCAAGTCCACTGCTCGCAAGGCGCCTGCTCGCAAGCGTTCAGTCGGGCCTGTCCTTCCACGGGAGGAAATATTCAAAAATAGTCACAAAACAATATGGGGACGACTTCTTCTTCTTCTTCTTATTTTTATTATTACTATTATTAGTAGTAGTATTCTTATTATCATTGTTATTATTATTATTGTTATTATATTGTACTACTACTACTACTACTACTACTACTACTACTACTACTCTACTACTACTACTACTACATACTACTACTATTGACTACTACTACTACTACTACTACTACTACTACTACTACTACTACTACTACTACTACTACTACTACTACTACTACTACTACTACTACTACTACTACTACTACTACAACTACTACTACTACTACTACTACTACTACTACTACTACTACTACTACTACTACTACTACTACTACTACTACTACTACTACTACTA